AAGTACCGGGCGGGCAGCTGTGTGCTAGCGCTGCACTGCGGCCCGGGGAGCGCCGCACCGGCCCAGCCTACCGCGGCCTTTCTGGAGCCCGTACAGAAGCGAGAGGAGCCCACGCATTGTCATTTACAGTGCATTAACTATGCTTTGAAGTACTTGTTAGCACCTTGTAACTACTCACTATAATTAGCCACGTCATTTACATCCTGCCAAGAGCTGCGTTGCTGGGAAGAAAGCACTCCGGTGCCGCTCCAGTGAAGCACCGCAGCTCCAGAGCTCTACCCAGCATTTACCATCTAGGTCAACACCTTCCAGCTACAGTGCTGCAGCAGAGATTATTACCTGAAAGAGGTTATAGAAACAGGTTAGCCTGCTCAGTGCAGAAGCATCTTTATTTGAAGTATTTCACTGCTGGAGGAACAGTTCTGGAAGGCCGGGAGCTGGCTGCCCCCAGCCACAGGAACCAGTCTGGACAGCACTTTTTGCCTCGCCAAAAGCCCGAGGTTTCCCTTACCACAGCAACAAGCAGGCCTTCACTGCGAAAAATGAACCTGCAGAGAGCTGGAGAAGCACAGCTGAAGGAGATGGGACCAGAGCCCCCTCTAACCCACCGCCCCTGTATGGCCGAAGTTAAAGTTACAGTTTCAACACTCCAGTCCTTAGACTCACTTGTGTAGTTTGAACCCTCACCGCTGCGGGGCTTCAGACTAACAGAAAGCAAGGGCTTTCCAATTCAGACCCCCGCAGCCAGCAGAGGTAAAAGCCCACCCATGAAAAAGCCACACAAGACAGAGCTATTTGACTGCTACCTTGGAAGCAGTTTTTAGACTCTTCCTCAAAGTTCATACCCTATGAGCCAGCGGAGGCTGCTGCAGTGCAGCCCTTGCTTTTATGGCTGTCTCTCCCCGATCTTTTACAAGAAGAAACAGTGAGAGGGGTCAGGCTCTACCATGAAGAAAATCAACTCAAGTTGTGGGTTTTCAACATCCATTCAGCTTACCTTCTTCCTCCTCCATGATAGTTCCCTTCCCTCTATGAAGGCCGACATCAAGTAGAACTGGCCTTAAGCAGCACCAGCCTTACATCTGCCGGGCTGAAGGCAACTGTCACACCACAGGGCAGGCTCGCTTAGCAAGAATGTAACTTTGCAGGACGAAACCCGTGTGCCATCTCCCTTGACGATATTTACCGAGTGCAGTGTTCTAGGACTGTGTTTCACAGCTGGTAGGATTGTCAGAGGTGCACGTTCTTGGAACAGCTCGTCAGGACCACGTATTTTTCAGTTAGTGGACAAGAGACAATCAGTCTTGATATAACATTTATTGAATATTTCCACTCTAGTGGATGAAAAGTCTGTACAAAACCAAACATTTCCTTTACTTAAACCAATCTAAAAACAGTCAGCTCAATCAAAACCCACTACAAATACAATAGCTTCTTTGAAGCCATGGTAACACTTAAATACGGTTAAGACTTCAATGCAGAAATTTGGTTTGTTAGAAAGCTCAAGGGAGCTTTAGCTTCTCAAAGTTACAAAAAGGCAAAATTGTGTTTCACAGATACAGTCCACTGGAATCACCAACACTGGACAATTAAGTACTTAGAGTCCTGAGATAACAAGGAATCTTGGCATCCTTTAAACAGTTTTCTGTTGTCCTTTCTTTCCAATAAGAGACTTGTGGATATGCGGTATTACACCTAAGAAAGAGCAACAATTAAGACCACGTTATTTCTCTTCAACAATTCTAAGCTTTGCACTTCAAATAAAATGACAGCATTAAGCAACCCCTCGTCTGTTAAGAGTTCTGGCCACGCAGCTAACTAATCACAGTTAGCAAGCAATTTACATACCGCCACCAGCAATTGTTGCCTTAATGAGAGAGTCCAATTCTTCGTCTCCTCTAATTGCAAGCTGCAAGTGACGGGGAGTGATACGTTTCACCTTCAAGTCTTTGGATGCGTTTCCTGCCAGCTCAAGAACCTGAGGACAAGACCATTTTTAAGCCAAGTTACACAAATCAAGTGAGACCAAATGCACAGCCTTAGTGTATTTGGCATAGAAAATAAAATAGCTATTAGTGACGCCAAGACAGCAAACAATGCCTCTTTTGAAAGGGTTCCTCCTTTGGAGCTCTGCATTTAATTTTCCCCAAGAACAGAGTAAGTGTTTTACAGCAGACACGACATGCTGTAATGGCATGTTTTAAAAATACTTCATTCTTCCGTCTTTCCTGTAAGTCACAGTGATTTGATCTGCACAAAATGCAGAGCAAACGGTCCCATGCGTATTTCATGGTCTCCTGAGGATGCATGCACTTAAAACTGGCCAAAGCAAGTGAAGAGTTCACAGCCCAGTCCGAATTGGCAAAATACAGCAGGCTCTGGTCATGATGCCATTCTGGAGTTGACCAACTTGCTTGCACCCCTTGCAGGAACTTTACCTCAGCTGTCAAGTACTCCAGGATCGCAGCGCTATAGACAGCAGCTGTGGCTCCTACACGCCCATGGCTGGTAGTCCTAGACTTCAGGTGCCTGTGGATGCGGCCAACAGGGAACTGGAAAATAACATCAGTATGAATAGGCTGTGATGAGAGAGACAGAAAGGCACTACTGTAAACTACATGCTGGGCAACAGAATCCCAGCGGCAGAAGTACGGGCTACATTTCAACACCTGAGAATCCAGCTAAGGACACCGTATGCCAAGTTCACATCAGCAACTTCACAATCCTAACCACAAGCAGTAGCAACAGCCACAAGGGAATTCTCTTCCTTCCCGCACAGATGCAAGAGGTCTAAAAATAGTCAAACCAGACATAAACACACTCAAGGATCAAACAGATCCTTACACCATTCTGGACAACAGACAAGACAGCAGATTGTGCAGGTCTCACAAGGTACAACCAACCAAGAGATGGAAGGCCAACCTGACTTTCATTCACCCGTGCCCCGGTCCCTGCTCACCTGCAATCCAGCCCGCTGAGAACGGGACACTGCTTTGGTCTTGGTCTTTCCAGAGTCCTTCCCAGCTTTACCGCCAGCCTAGCAGAGAGGAGAGGCGTGTGTGTG